CTTTCAGTGGGGAGGAAGTTTAGTGCTGTGCTTTGTACACTTACTACACTCGTGATTTGATTAATAAGAAATCCAGCTCAAGCAGAGAGCCACTCCACCACCCACCCCGCCTCCCTCCTCCGTCTCCCGCTCATGCGCCTCCTCATCTCCCGCTCCGCTCCTCCGCCCCGTGCCTTGGTTCAGTGCCTGGTTAGGCTGACCTGGCAGTATAAACAAGGCTAATGTTTTTCTCACACCAGCCGTTTTATGACCACATTTACAACGTGAATAGCAGCTTCCTTATCTACTGACGGTTGTCCCAGCGAACCAGGTTTCTGCAACAGGACTGTTGCTGCATTGAAACCTAAACCACACAACGTGCCCTATCAACACATTTAGAGCTGCCTTTCAGATCATGCCCTTCTGTCTATCTGAGCTCCCGTGTGCTCTCGCATGTGGACATTCGTGCGGCGACTTGTGCGTGCGTGTTCCTGCTTATGCATCTATGCATGTGCGTTTTAACAAACGCTGACTGAACATGTTATCTCATAGCGAACACAACACGTTGTATCTTTGGCTGTTTGCTTCCAGGAAGGGGGAGAGTTGAGGGAGTGTCACATTTACAGCAGGCATGCTGTTGATTTACGAGCTACCCAGTCCTGAGTATATCTGCGAAACAGCATTCATATTTGCCTTTTCGTGCGTCCATATGCTAGATGGATATTTGTCCTCTTTTGTGTGTGGAGCGGAGAGGAACGGTGAGGCAATTCCAACTGGTCAAATACCATAGTCAGTAAAGAGCATGAAGCCTGATGGAGCAGCCGCCAGCATGACAGTATCTCCCAGCAAGCTCGTCTGATGCATTATTCTATAAATAAGCAGAGATGAGAGAGCTAAAAAAGCAGACAGGATGGTCAATAGTGGCCTCCAGAGAGAGGGAGAGAGACTATGCAGTGTCAAGCTCCAGCTCCCCCACTGAGGACAGAACTCAGACAGGAGGCACAAACACAAGGCTAAACTGCTCTGTACGGACAAGATGTTCCTCTTCAGCGCTGTGCTCACTGTTGCATTTAACCCCAAGTCTGTGCCACTGTCCCTACAACAGGTTTTCCACCAGTGGATCTGTGGCCCGTGCTTCCTTTATACATGTAGCATCGCTCAAATTAAACACGTGTGTACAAAGGGGTGACAAATTTAAAGCAAACCTGGATAAATGAGTTGCCAGTGCAGATGCAGGGGCTTACTGAAGGATTTGGATGCAACAGTTTGTGTTCTATCTGTATTTGCTGGGTGTTTAGAAAAAGGGTGGAGGTGCAGCAAGCAACGCACGCACACGAATGTAAGCAAAGGAGGGACAGATAATGCTTCGTCTAGACAGCCAGAAGTCGTTTCATTAGCCGGGGACTTGGCCTACCCCCCTCCAGCGCCCTCCAGTCCTGCAGACACTGGGATGTCCAGTAAAGACACAGGGTCACCAGCGCGGCTCCACTGGCGTTAGCAGCCATTAGGCCTCAGGAAGTGGTCCAAATATATCCAGGCCAGGGGACATCGACCAGACTGACTTCACCACGTCTCTGGATAGATCTGGATAGAGGATGTCTCCGTATCATCTCTCCAGTCAGTGTTTTTGCTGCAGACTGAGCATGGAACAGTTGCTTTAGTGATTAATAAATACTAAAATCCTATTTTGTTTTATTTCAGAAGGATTACATGCAATTTCATCTCTTCAATAGTTTTCAATTCTGATTCATATAAAGTGTAAAACTTTGAGCACAGGCATGGCTGAGCTGAATGATAAGCAGGTTTTATATTAAAAGACTATTTGTATACAAAGGACTACTTGGCAGGTCTGGCGGTGTCCAAAGGCGTCCTCATCAATACTCTGTCATGCTGTCAGCAGAGTATAAATGACGGGTTTAATAAAAGACAGCAAACAGAAGCAGGTCACAGGCGAGAATGTGAGGGCCACTCATGGCCCCGCTCTCCACGCTCTATTCTTCTGCCCTCCCTTTCAGTCCATCTCTCACCCTCACATGGCATGCAGAACGGCCCTGATCCTCCCAAAAAGAAGATTAACAAACCCCTGACAGAGAAGTAATCTCTCTGAAAACATTGACTATTACCATTTCAACATGCTGCCTCTAAACAGTGGAAAATGCCTCTCTGGTATGCTTAATTGCAGTGTGTGGGACACACAGCGTTCCTTTAGGTATGCTAAATGGAAAGCCTTGGCTACTGAAGGCATTCCAACGTTGTAAATGTACAACAATGGACCTTTACAGTTTTGCGCTTGGCGTAGAGTTCAGAAATTCAAATAAACTTCAAGAGGACATTTTCAAGGGAAGGTCTTCTGCGCTGTGTTGTTTCTGACAACAGCATAGAGGGTTCGGTTGTTCAGATTCTCCATCATAAATACGTTTGAACTGTGGTGTGAGTGCGGACTGATTCATGAGGACTAGAACCACTTTCCCAACGAAGTATAATTGGTCACATTGTTGCCTGTGTATGTTGTCATGAGATAACATTCCAGCCATTTGACCTCTTGCTTTTGGTTCATTTAATTACTTATCAGTGTTCTGCACAAGGCTCCAAACTGTACTGCTATTTGTGCAGCTTTTGTGTCAAGAGCAGCTGTGCAGAATTTCTTAACAAGTCCAAGCTGAATTTCAAGAGTTTCCTGTGCATTTCTAAATATTTTTGTCAGCTATATTTCAGAGCCCTTCCTCTAATTTAGGGGAAACATGGGTGGCCTTCAGTTCATTGCACTGCGGAGGCAAGGTCAAGCGAACTCTTTGACCACATGTTAAAACTGACAGAGAGTCAATGAGTGACTAAGATCAGAGAGGAATTCGTGCGATACAAATGCAAAGAGCAGCGAGGCCTCAATCTGGCCTTGTAAAACCCGGAGCTATCCGTAATCGTGCTGGCAGATATGTAATGCTGGAATTTTCCATAAGAGGAACAGGCTGGCTCTGTGTCCGTCCATCCATCTCTGTGTCCATCAGTCTGTGCCTGTGATTATCCTGTCAGGCTCTCAGTCACACACTGTTGACACTGCGCTGTGACGCAACCCATCATTCAAATTATTTTTAGCGTAAAGTCCAGGCACAGGAATTGGTAATCCAAGGAGTGACATCTGGCCTTCAGGGCTTATGTGATTAGCAGAGAGCCTTGCCCCTAATAGCCTAGCGGACGTTCTTCATTACCTCTCTGGACCAGCCATACCTACGGCACCAGACATGAAGTGACCATGCATTTAAAAAAAGAAAGAAAACAGTCTAATGAACATACATGCAGATATGGCTGAAGCTTATATATCAGCTGCACTAAGCATGGAGGTGCTACGTTAAATCAGCTACTGTACAACACTTGCCAAGCTTACAGTGAGCTCTCTAATATGCACTACAGCTTCAATCCTGCTGCATTAGGGCTAAGACCAGATGACCAAAGAGATAACTAGTAAGTCCGAGCAAGGCCACAGGAGAAACTAACAAAATTCTAAAAAGTAGGAGGAGAAAAGGTCAGGAGAGTTCTAAAATATAAAACACACAGAAAGAACAGTTGAAGCAAAGCCGTGGTGGAGGGCTGCCGGCTTCCTACTGTATTAATCATCATCTCTGCTGAAGGGGCTAATAATGACAAAGTGACCAGGCATGTCCCCTCCTCGGTGCTTTCTGTCCTCAGAATGGAGTCCACAATTATAGAAGACGTCCCATCTCGGAGGGAGTATGGTCCTTTAATTATCTTTAACAGAACAAAACTTCCCAGCTTTCAAGATGTCTATTAAACACACAAAAGCAGCAATTTTTTCCAGCAGTAAACACAGTTTAAGGGGCTGTTTGTATGAGTTTTGTTAGTGTGTGTGTGTGTGTGTGTGTGTGTACGCATCACATCGTAACATTCTTTGAATCATGCATCAGTTGATCAGCAGCAAGGTCTAATTGTGTGTGTGGGCGTTGGCATGGCCAGGTGGAAGCTCTTACTTTGTTAGCAGTAAACTAATTTCGGGTTTACTGGAAACTGTTTAAACATAGCATTACTACAAGTCTCATATAATCTTCCTTGTTCTGTAATAATCATTTCAATGCTACAAACAAGCCTGTTTGCAAAGAGAGAGATAAAGAAAGGGACTATTTTTGGGCCGTTGTTTGCTTGGAGAAGCTTTTGCTTATTCTGAGGCAGCTTGTTCCCAGGAGTTCAGAGCACAGCCTCGCTGCAGTTTTGCTTTTGTTTTGTTGTCTTCAGGATCTGTGGTTGAGAGGGAGTTCAGTGCCCCTCTCCTGTTTTCATAGTTACTTGAACAAAATTTCTTCCACCACCTTCCCTAAAGTGAGTAATTGTGTACCAATAAATGCAAGGGCTGGGTTGTGTAGCGGGGAAGGAAATTGCAATCATTCCCTGAGTTTTTTTCCTTGGCTTCTTTCTGTGTATGATTTTGTATTGCTCCTCTGTCTCTGTAGAGTGTCCCATGAAAGGGTATTCTTTTAGTATTCACTCAGCCTATTTACTTTGCAGCAGATGGGAACAGTGGGGAAATGGCATTTCCTCTGCTTGAACCAGTGGCTTGCATAAGCAGTATTCAATCTAAATCTGCTTATCTGTTTGCTAACCTTTTGCCTTTTTAATGTTATATAACCATATAAAAAACTTCTTTACCGCACATTGTATTAGAAAAACACAAAACAATCCGTGTCCCAGCAGTTTTACAGACGGATGTTTTAGGACAAAAATATGAAATAATGGTACTATTTAGAGACGGTTAATGCCAAAGCATCAAATGCTTAATGAACGGTTCGTTTGTAATTGCTACTTTGCAGTGATGTCAAAGAGTTCAGAAGGTTAACATGCTGACGCATCAGCGTATACGCTTGGTGTTTTAATGACCTGCTCTGACCCTAGCTGTCTTTATTTAAAGCTTCTGGCTACCACTCATGTTTCAGACACTCTCAAATTCCTAACCTCTCACTTTCGTTCCCCTCCTGTCTTCCTTGCTCCTCCCCTCTGTTCCCCTCTTCTCACAGGTATGGCCTCGCAAGTGCAAGTGTTCTCCCCTCACACTCTCCAGTCAAGTGCCTTCTTTAGCGTGAAGAAACTGAAGGTGGAGCAGAGTTGTAACTGGGATATGACAGGGTACGGCACACACAGCAAAGTCTACAGCCACAACAGCAGCAAGAACGTGTCGGCCACCAGTGGCCCCCTAGGCATCAACAGCTCCCTGCAGGTCGCCAGCTCCACCCTGCCCTACGAGCAGGCGCTCATCTTCCCAGCCAGCGCGGGCCACATCGTGGTCGCCTCAGCCAGCAGCACTTCGGGGGCCGTGGGGTCTCTGCTGGGCAGCGGGGGTGGAGGCAGTAGCAGCAACAGTAGTGGTGGTGGAGGTGGCGGGGGCGGCAGTGGTGTGGGCGGTGGGGTTGGAGTTCACAACCTGACACGCCGCAGCACGGTCAGTCTCCTCGACACCTACCAGCGATGCGGGCTTAAACGCAAGAGTGAGGAGCTTGATAACAACAGCAGCGTGCAGATCATTGAGGAGCACGGCCCATCAATGATCCAGAACGGAGCAGCGAGCGGGGCCACGGTGGCCACGGTGGCCACTGCCACCTCCACGGCCACGTCCAAGAACAGCGGCTCCAACAACGAGGGGGACTACCAGCTGGTGCAGCATGAGGTGCTCTGCTCCATGACCAACACCTACGAAGTCTTGGAGTTCTTGGGAAGAGGAACCTTCGGACAGGTGGTCAAGTGCTGGAAGAGGGGCACCAACGAGATAGTGGCGATCAAGATCCTGAAGAACCACCCGTCGTACGCACGGCAGGGCCAGATCGAGGTCAGCATCCTGGCACGTCTCAGCACGGAGAGCGCAGACGACTACAACTTTGTGAGGGCCTACGAGTGCTTCCAGCACAAGAACCACACGTGCCTGGTATTTGAGATGTTGGAGCAGAACCTGTACGACTTTCTCAAGCAGAACAAGTTCAGCCCTCTGCCACTCAAATACATCAGACCCGTGCTGCAGCAGGTGGCCACAGCGCTAATGAAACTGAAGAGCCTGGGGCTGATCCACGCTGACCTGAAGCCAGAGAACATCATGCTCGTGGACCCGTCTCGACAGCCCTACCGGGTCAAAGTCATTGACTTTGGCTCTGCCAGCCACGTGTCCAAAGCGGTCTGCTCCACGTATCTACAGTCCAGATACTACCGGTAAGAGCAGCAACTCTGACAACATTATTAATTTGTTATGAAATGGATGTGAAAGACGTAAGCGTGGAGTTTTATGTAACAGATGCAAAGCGGAAAGGGCAGAAAAATGTGCTCCTCTGTTTGTTCCTGTTTGCTCTGTCTGGCTGATTATTGTGCTTCCCGCATCTTGTTTGATTTATCGCTGCTTTAATAGGAATGTTTTCATAGTTGAGCTGATTATTTAGCCAAAAATCCAGATTGGCTGCCAACCTTATGAGCTGCTGCTGAAGTCCTCTCTTCTTTCCAATTTCGTCTTTTTCTTGTGCCCCCCCCAGTTAGCCGCCTTCCAACATGATGCAGGGCAGTAAAACCCAAAGGCTTGATGGGTAGCCAGCTGCTTATTGTGTGTAATGTGATAAAAACACACGCATGTTTTAGTGCTACTTTGATGATTGTACAAGACCTCTAGTTACCTCACAACTCGCTGATGCTTCAGCCGAGACAGAACAGAGGGAACATCTGAAGCAGTGACGTTGTTTGGTATCATCGAGAGGTTCAGGGGAGGTTCTGTTTTTTAGATCTTAGAGAAAACTCCCTTATATATGAAGGGCACCAATCATGTGGGATGGCAGTCTGCCCACAGGCCTCGATTCACCCTTCTGCTCCCTGGGCCCCCAGACCCTCAGCCCCCCATCACCGTAGCTGGCTCCCATTTCCCCCGGGATAGAGATGAGGGGTCAGCCGGAGTTCTCCTGTGATATGTGCTTGTAATCCACACCAGCGGGCCCTGCATTAGAACCAGATGACTCTCTGGGAAGACCTTTCTTTATTCTCCCAGCACTTTTAAGAAAAATCTTTTTCACCCATAGCAAACAGCGTGTTTGGGTTTCAGCAGAGGCAGCGTTTGGGGGGCGGTGGGACTGAGCAAGGTATCGCACAGCAGCGTCCACGTCTGGACAGAGAGGAGCTTTGTTTGGGGCTCTGGCCTGGTGCTGGGGCCAAGGATGAACAGGTGTGTGTGAGCCATGCTACGACAAACACCCACACACACACACACACACACACACACACACACACACACACACACACACACACACACACACATGCCAGGTGGCAGCTCTGCAACTGTGCATAGTGCAGATTGTGTGGAGAGAAGTTTGTGGTTTCTGTTCAGTGGATTCTGTTGATGGAAGAGTTTGGTTTCGTTATCTCTACAGTTTATCGCCGGCTTTTTTTAAACGCGCTACACTGACGACCGTTGTTTCCCCGTTAAAGCGGGCCGGGCCCGACAGCAGAGAGAACCGAGAGTGAGCGGTAATGGGATTCGAGCTGCCGCATCCGAAGCATTCACACGTTTTATCACGTCTGACGTGTGTATTGTTTTAACTCAGCTTTAGTGTTTATCAAACTCAATTTTATCAACACATCTCGTCAACTGTCTCTAAAACCCCCCCACGGTGAATTAAGATCCCGGTGTGGGAATTGGATTGTGCATGCCAACAGGGCAGAGCTGTTCTATCAGTTTAAGTAAGTCCTCCTGAAGTAAACAGCAGCAGTAGCCTGTTGTTGCTCCTCGCTGTAGGTCAACAAGCAGGTTATAAAATCCTCCTGTTTGTTTTCTCTGGGAGTGATGAGCGGAGGAGAGCGGAGAGATCATCCCTTCATTTCCTCTTGGCAGCGGAGGAGGGGAAAGAAAGACTCATATTGACCAGAAAATTACCCACGAGTCACCAAAACCTAAAGCCAGGGACTTGGTGACCCTGGTTTGAACACTGTGAACGTGTCTGTGTGTGTTTTCTGTGCTGCATAGTGACTGCGTGCTTTACCAGGACGCATTGTGAGGAATGAGGCAAGTCTTACAATTCAATTCAAAGAATGAGCTCCTGGGAGATGAGCGCTATGGGTGTCTTAACATCGAACGCAGTACGGGCAGCAAACAAACTTCGGCTGCGGGTAGAGTTCATGGTGAGTTCAAAAGCTTAGGGGAGAACATCAAACCATCTTTGATGATTTCAGATGAGGAGATAGCAGGGTAGTTTCTGTTGCATGCACCTTTACAGGGTGGAGATTACATACAGGTGTGCTTTTCCAGCTCCAAATAACTGCCTCTGTGTTACTCTATATCCTCTACAATAGCAACCACATCCCTGTGTTGTGCACCTCTTGTTAAATACAAAATCTGAGTTTATGAGTGATGCGGTGAAATGACCTCATAGAATAATGGAAAGGAGGGAGACTGTTGGAGCCTTTTTATATACATGACACAGAATAAAGAGTCATTTTAAGCCCACTGCAGACAGTATAAACCTACAAAGTCATTATCACTCGCTGCTACTTCCATCCATTTGCTGTTTGCATTTTAGATGTCATACATATTATTTGCTGTTGACGTTGCATACGCTGTAACAGCCTTGCAAATGAGTTATGGATTTTCCACAAGGTTGACTCATGCAAATGAAATAGCAGCATTCAAGGTAAACAAGAACAGCTCTCATGGTGCTTAGGGTTTCAACTTTGTCCGCTTCAGCGCTTAACAAACACAGGGTCATGTAGCTGAGCTCATCTATTCTTGTCAAACGCGCCTGTCTGTTGGACCTCTACGCTTACTGATGCTGTATTTTAATACGCTCAGTCTCCCCGCAATTTTAAAAACGCATTACCGCCCTAAACTCTGCGTCGTGGCGGCTCCCCGTCCTCCTCTCGATGACTCCGTGGTGTTTACGTCATCGTGATTACGTCACCGCGTGACCCAGCCCTGGTCCTACTTCTTGTACCCTCCTTTCCTGGTCGTCTCCTGCGCGCTCCCCTATAGCTAATGATGTAACAGGTAAGCTGGCTAGTCAAGCTCGCTCTGTGCCAGATAAAGGGATTATTGTCTTGTCCCAGCTGAACATTTTTGTCCTATTTATCTGGTCGGGGTTAAAGCCATGAGATGGGTGGAATGCCGGAAGACATTATCTAAGTTTATGTAAAGTTTCCTGAGGCGGTTCAGCTGCTCGGAGCCGGCCTTGTGATGACTTCAGCGAACGGGGGGTGTGATGAGCAAACAGAGGCAGAGATTGAAGGAGACGCGAGCTCTCACCCTACATGACTGTCTGCTGCGCTGTCCTAAGCCGTCCTCGTTTAAGGATGTCTCCTGCGCCGCTTCCGTGTCTTTATCTATTATAGGTCTGTCTGGAACCGATGTCTGGACCATGCATGTGACTTTCAGACCCAATTAGACGGCTTCCTACACATACATTAGTCTGGAAGTGTCAAACAGGTGTCATGTGGTATTTAATCAGGTATTTAGACATCACCGTCTGAGATTTCTGTTTCCAATCCACTGTTTTGTCTCATTGGATGATCCTCTAACAGTCATTTGTTTGCATCGGGGCAGCCTCTCTGTTTTAACGTAGCTCCAAAGGAAGCAGTTCATAGTATGGATGTGCAGATTAACCGGAGAAGTCTGGTTTGTGTTCGCTTTGATTCGGCTGCAGTCTTTGGGACAAATATGTAATTACCTCAGTGTGTATGAGTGTATTTTGTAAATGGGTTAATCACGTCACTAGGTAGAGACACAGTGACCTAGAAATTTCAGTGCACTGATCGTTTGGTATTTGTGCATGTGCCGATAAAGCCTCTGAATCCTTGAATCACTGAAATCAAGGCAATAGGTGGGTGAACTGGCCTGCTATTTCATCTCCGTGCTTTTGTCTGGACATAGCGAACACCTACAGGGTCACGTGGTGACTGGACAGGTTCTTTCATTCTCTCTTTGTGCGTGACGTATATCGTATCAGTGCCTTCACAGACAGATGCTCTGCACACGCTCAGAAAGGCTATCTCACAGCGGATGTTTCACACCAGCTTGCTCAATTTGCCCCAAGACAGAGGGACAGAGAAAGAGACAGAACAATTTCCTCTAGTAATTAAACATCTTAATATTAGCAGCCCACAGGCCCGTAGCTGGATTGCACGTTGTGGACACGTGTCAGCACCTCCCAGCTTCTACCCGTTGCTCAGAATGCACACATCCGAGACCTAACACACACTGCAGAGGTGCAGCCTGAGGAATTAGCCTATTAGACGTTGCGGGTGAAAGGAAAATGAGTCAACAGCGTCTCAGAGGGAGGAACAGGCTTGTTGATTTCACCAGTAATCTGAAGTGGCCGGTGCTGTGTGTGCTCTCAGTGTTATCAGTGTGAAGCTAAAGGCCTCTGGCGGACGAGATCTTAATGCGGAAACCTCACAGAAAGCTCATATTGCGTTTTCTCATTCTAACTTTGGAGCCTTTATTTGCGTTGGCACTAAACATGGGTGCAGCTGACGACGCCCCTCGGGTTTGTGTCGTGGCCTTGACAACTGATTTGCATCTCCATCAGGGTCGGCGGCGCAGTCGCTGCTCGGGCCGAGTGTCGGGCGAGTCTCTGCCCCCACCTGTCTATCTACCTCGCTATCTGCTGTTAGCGTCGCACAACCAGACAGACAGGACAGGCGTTCCAGCACATTTACCCTGCCTCCGTGCGAAACATCAAGGGGTGTTTTAATGAATGAGGTTGCTATTAGTTACTGTTCTGTGAAGCGTGTGTTAAAGTGTATGTGCCAGAGAGGGGGGCGAGAAAAGGTAAACTGCAGGATCAGGTTGCTACGGAGGGAAGATGAATTAGAAAAAAAAAGGACGCCAAGACGGATTTGCTCAGCGGCGGTGGTGCAGTTACTAGTGCAGGTAGATTCTTAAGAAGGTATCTTAAACGGGGAGGAAACGTGGGGGGAGATGGAGGCCGGGGTGTGCAGAAGGCTGTTGTTTTGCATTCCTCACCAGTTACCTGGATCAGTGCGCTTTTTCCCCAAGCAGTGGCAGATTATTACTAATGCAGATGAGCTTTCATTACCTTCAGCTCGACTGCGCGGCTGTTGAATCTTGTTACTTGTTTTTTTTTTTTTGCTGACTTTCAAGTTGGTTTGTTTTATATTTAGCTTCCTGCCTCCAGCTGGTGACCGCTCAGGGCCGGGGATCATCCAGTTGTTGTCGACTGCAG